AGCCCTTTACGGTCGCCTCCACGACCAGCAAGCCCGGCTTGCACACACGTTCCGTGTTCATGAGAACGGAGCTCTTCGAATCTGGTCCCTGTTGATCTATGCCTCCCTGAGGCTCAACAGAACTCAGTTATTCCCCAGTTGATCGCCCCGCGCATACTGAGTGGTGTCGTTTTCCCGTGACGAACCAGACTGGCAGGCGTAGGGGCGATGGTTCGTAAAACCTTGGCGCGCCTTGCGCAGGGGGCAACCGCTCCGAAGGTGGTGAGTGCCTCCACAGACAAAACACCGTCAAATGTGGGTATGCTGCCCGGCAGCTCGGAGCTCTGTTTCCTCGTCCTCAGCATAGCTGCGATCTATGGGCATAGGCCCGCTCGACGTGTTGGAGTGTGCATTCCAACCAAGTCGTGTCGACTTGAAATTAAATTCGGCGTTCAATGCCACATTCACCGCTCTTCAAATGAGGACGGAGGCACGGAAGACTTCCATTCTTGCCACGCCAGTGCGGAGTCCTTCCATCAACACGGTCACTGTGACCGCCTCCGGGAGAGGATCTGCTGCCATACCGGCAATGAGAGTTCGCATCTCTTGACAAAGTCCACCAATTCCTTGTTGCCCTGTCGGGTGGCAAGGAAACGCGATCGCACGTGGTTAGCCTAATTAGGCGTCGAAAACACACGTGATAGCTGCAATTTCAGCTCCATCCAGGAGGGAAACGCAGCTCCGACCGAAGTGCCGCACGTCGGTGCCCATTCTCGCGCTCTCCACCGAGCTTGGAGATGGCTAGCGCCACGCGCTGTTGCTCGGTTTGGGGCATGGCGGATGCGATGGCCATTTTGACCTCTCTCACCCAGAGCAGAAGATTCTCTCCATCCTTCCCCTCAAAGGCCTTGACGCTCACCATGGGCGACTTGGGTCGAAGGAAGTCATCCGTCACTGACGGTGGCGTCATAGACGCAAACGATGCAGACATCTTCTGCTGCAGGTGTTCTAGCAGCGCGTTTACGTAACTTGAAAACGCCTCTAGACGCGCACCGATTGCCTCGGGCCCTTGTGCTTCAAGGTTGCACGCCCTCAGGGCCAAGCAAGGATGTCAGCTTGTTAAGCCGTCCTAGATGTTCTGGGGACAAAGAAAAAAATTCCTTCATTCTCAAAGAGGATCAGTCTAAACGACTGAA